CACTTATTCATCTTCTTTTAGTTTAATATATTATATCTAATAATTATAAAATGATTGAGAATATAAAGATAAGAAATGGAAGACAAGAATATGAGAAGACAAAAAATAATTAGAAAGTTTTATTTAAAATTTATTGAAAAATTATTTTAAAAATATAACTACATGTGCAATTATAATATCATAATGATTACAATTATTATATCATTATGAGCTATAATGTTATTTTCATTTTTTATTTAAAAGATACGTTTTTTTGCCAATGAATTTAAATAGACTATACAAATACAATTTAATGCCATAGTAATGACGATGATTAAAAATAAAGAGTCACTATTTCTAACATATCCTATAATAATAATCTAATTAAAGAGATATATTTACATGATTTCTATTTAAGCTCCACCCTTCCCCATTCTCCACACAAACTTTTGATGAAAGAATTTGCGTCAACCAACAATTTCAAAAAGGTATATTACATTTGATACTAGGTATTTGATACTTATTTTATTTTTTTTCAATTACATTATTTATACATTACAATTCAACATTTTCTTTTGATAACCATTTGATAGCATGGAAAACCCTAGGTTTGTGCAAATAATTAATTTCAAGGAACTAATGGAGAGGATATCTATTCGATTGAATTTAGGCCAGCCACAATATCAAACAAATCTAAGTGATGATGGGAATTATGCCTCCAACGTTCAACTAATCCAAGAAGAGGACTATATGGCTATGAAATTAATTTACAATGGCTATCCCTTTGCAGCTATGGAAGAAGTGGAATAATTTGCTGCAAAACATGCTATCTTAGAACTAAAGAAATCTCATGATTTTGCAATTGAAGATGTTAATTATACCAATTGCAAAATGCAAGCTATTGAAGAAGCTTTTTAGAGACAATCTTCTTTGTGTGAAATGGAGAAAGAAAAAGAAGCAGTATATAAAAATCATGTTTTAAGGATTGTTGAAGGACTTAGAACAATGTTACCAAGAATAAAAATATTTTACTATAGCAAGAAAAAGATGAATGTACTTCTAAACAATATCTAATAATTTTCATATTATGTAGAATTGACTATCCATGATATAATATAAATAAATTGTAGGGTTATCTTTGTCTTATATATTTCATTCTCTTCTTAAAAATTACTAACAATGTCCCTAAGTAATCTATTATTAATTTAATTATTATTGATAACTCTTCCAACCTTATTTACAAGACTAGTTTTTTCTCTTTTATTTTTATTGTTGTTGTCAACCATCATTGTCCCTTTTTCCTAATTAAATAATCATTCTCTTCACCTTATATTATATTGTATTAATTTATTTATTTAGTTTGTTCATCCTACGAGAATGACTATGGAAAATAGAAGACAAACAAAAAGAATAGAAAAGATATAGAGGGAACCCAACCACAAAAAAAAAACTACTGCTTAAGCCCCATTGAAACTATGCCCTAAACATAGCGTTGAAACGGGAAGTAAACAAGAGGTGCATCCAAAGGTGAAAGATGTGTATCCTTGGAAACGCATAAAAAAATATTGGAATGCATAATAATAGAAGTCATGGGACTAAATTGTAAATCTTTTCAAAGTTTGAGGTCTATATTATGAAACAAAAGGTTCCAATTAGGGACCTAAATGAATAAATTCAAAGATATAGGATTAGATTGTTCATCATGTCTTAGGACCAGACTTGTAATTTTATCTTTGAAAAAATAGCAAAAGACCCAAAAACCCGACATGGTTGTGTCGACACTCTTGCTTAGTGTCAATATAATTATTATAAAGGAAGTTGAATAGATTAATATATAGTTAAAAACTCTAAGCACGGGTTATTAAAAATTAAACTCACCTTAATATATGCATAACAGAAAATACTAATGAAAAGAATTAAAAGAAGAGAAAAATTTTGTCATTTACATGTACATTAAAACCTTCATTAATTAATAAAAAATCATAAAAAAATAAATAATTAAATAACAACATAAAATATAAAATCTCATTCAAAATTATCATATTAACAGTTACAAATCATACTATTAAAAATTTTATTCAAAATTATTATATTAGTAGTTACAAATGATAATATTATTACATTTCTAATTATAACATAAAAAAAACTTACAATGACACCAGAATAAAAGTAACACAGTTGGGAGAATGGATCATTGAAGGCAAGATCATGAGAGGAAACAAGATTTGTGAGAAGGTTTTAATATCAAGAATTACAATGACTTCATAGCAATCAAAGTGGCCATTCATACTAAAGAAAAAGACAATTTCCTTTAAGGCCGTGCTATGCAATGACAATTAATAAGAGTCAAGGGCAGTCCTTAAAGCATGTTGGCCTATATCTACCAAATCCTATTTTCAGCCATGGCCAATTATATGTAGCTGCATCTACAATGACTTCTCCAACTGATCTAAAGATTCTCATTGGTTATGATGAACAAGACCATGAAGGCTACACAAAAAACATTGTTTATTACAAAGTTTTTTATGATCTCCCACAAGTAACTATTGAATAATAAAAAGCTCTTAATGCCTTACTACAAGTCACTATTGAATAATAGCAATAAAGCATGATATTCAAATAGCTTCTTATGAATATTCATTTTTCTTTGTTATATCATTGATATTTCATAAATATAGTCTACCAAATAAAAAACTAAACACAATTAAAGATAAATGAAAAAAAAAAAAACCACACCCGTGCAATGCACGGGAAAAAAAACTAGTTATTTAATATATAATAATAAAACCCATCCAACATTTGTTTCCCGTTAATGACATACCATACAAACCCTTAATTAGAACATTTCTACTTGGGTAAGACTTAACTTTTTTTATTTTAAATTGTACAATAAAAAATAATTGGTTATACCCCCTTTTTGGTCCCTCAACTATTGTACGGACTCCCATCTGAGTCCCTTAACTCAAAAAATCCTTGATTTGGTCCTTACTGTTTACCATTTTAACCCCAACTTGGTCCCTCCGTTAAAAATCGCATGATGTGTCCTATTAATTTACGGTAAGACTATGACATGTCAAAATACGTGGAAAACAACATGGCAAACAAATAGTGATATGGAAAAAAATATTAATATGGTAAAAAATATTAATATGACCAAAAAAAAACTTAAAAAACTCCTTTTTTTTTTCCCTTTCTCCTTCCCATTGTCTTTCCATTGGGGTCATGGGTTCCTAGGTTCCTT